AAAACCCTTATCTGTTGTATCTGTTTTTTTCATCTATTCCGGGTTTTTGTCATTCTTTTTGGCCTTGCCATGTGTGAGCATGTGTGCGTGCATCTGTGTGTGTGTGTATTTTGAGATAGGGTCTGTCTCTTTTGCCCAGGCTGGGGTGCAGCAGTGCAGTCTCCACTCACTGCAACCTCAACCTCCCAGGCTCAAGAAATCCTCCCCTTTTGGCCTCCAGAGTACCTGGAACTGCAGGCCCTGCCACTACCCCTGGCTGATTTTTTAGCATTTTTTGTAGAAACAGGGTTTCACCATGTTGCCTGGGCTGGTCTTGAGCTCCTGGGCTCCAGTGATCCTCCTGCCTCAGCCTCCCAAATTGCTGGGATTACAGGTGTGAGCCACCATGCCCAGCCTAGGTATTTTTTGAAAATCATCAACTCTTTAATATTTTATCACTGTTACATTCAGATCCTTGATGTATACACTGAATACCTGTTAATTATGAGAGAAAAAGCTATCTGACGCCATTTCTTAACTAATATTTGTCTTACTGCTTTGAAATTGCACCGTTCTCCTGTAGAAATTGGCATGTGTCCTCAGCCTGAATTCCAGATGCATCTGTGCCCTGTTGGCCAGGCACAGTGGTTCATGCCTGTAATCCCAGCACTTTGGGAGGCTGAGGCAGGAGGATTGCTTGATCCCAGGAGAAGACCAGCCTGGGCAACAGAGCAAGACACTGTCTCTAAAATAATAATAATAAATAAGCTAGGATGGTGGTGCACAATTGTAGTCCCAGCTTCTTGGGAGGCTGAGGCAGGAGGACAGGAGGATCGCTTGAGCCTGGGAGTTCAAGGCTGCAGTGACCACACTGCTGCACTCCAGCCTGGGTGACAGAGTGAGATTCTGTCTCAAAAAGTTCTGCACTGTCTATGGTGCAGCAGTAACGTATTTGTTTACTCTATCTTGAAAATTAGATTTTCTAAAGATTAGAAAACCCTATACCTGGTAAGTGCTTGAAAATTCCTGGCCGGCTGGGAGCTCAGGACTGCAATCCCAGCACTTTGGGAGACCAAGGAGGGCAGATCACCTGAGGTCAGGAGTTCGAGACCAGCCTGGCCAACATGGTGAAACCCCGTCTTTACTAAAAATACAAAAATCAGCTGGGCGTGGTGGTGGGTGCCTGTAGTCCCCGCTACTTGAGAGGCTGAAGCAGGAGAATTGCTTGAACTTGGGAGACAAGTTGCAGTGAGCCAAGACCATGCCACTGCATTCCAGCCTGGGCAACAAGAGCCAGACTCCATCTCAAAAAAAAAAAGAGAGAGAGAGAAAAAATTCCTGGCCATAGAAGGATAGGTCACCTGCCAGCGACAGCCCGCACCGACCATCTCCCACCCTGTGACATGAACCACCCTCCTGCCCTCCGTCCCCACCGCCACCAACCCTGACCTCCCAAGAACTGAAAGAATTATTCTTGAGAGTCATAGCCCCCAGCCCCCTCCTTTGTCCCCCAACCCTCAAGGACAAAAAGTACTTTGGCCCCTCGCCTGCAGCACCTGGGAAGAAAAGGAGAGTGACCTTGCCCTGCGCTCAGGACCACCCTGGAGAGAGAAGCTGCCCCGTCGCCGCGGAGACCTGAAGCTGTGTGGAGCCCAAGGCTGTACACCTGCCTGTGCTGATTCTCTGCCTCGGAAAGGACCATGCAGCTGGAGACTGCAGCGGCCCTGAACATCATGTAGATTTGTAAAACTCATAGGTCACTTGGATGCACAGTGAGATCAAACCACTAACAGTGGCCTAAGAGGAAAACTGGATTAACTGGTAAAAATGGGACTTTTGTTCATTGTTATAGACTGGTCGGAAGTACTGCCTGTCCTGAGCTTGACCCCAGCCTCACTCCACAGGGTGGCCCTCAGATGCAGGCTACTAAGGCCTGCTTTCCCCATCACAGAGACATTATGGGGGTAATGTGACTGTCCACTCCAGGGGATTCCGACTTGTGCACATATCAGAATCACCCAGATGGAGGCCATGCATTGTGGCTCATACCTGTAATCCCGAGATGGGTGGATCACTTGAGATCAGGAGTTTGAAACCAGCCTGGCAAACGTGGTGAAACCCCGTCGCTACTAATACAAAAAAGCCGGGTGTGGCGGTGCGCACCGGTAGTCCCAGCTACTGGGGAGGCTGAGACAGGGGAATCGCTTGAACCCAGGAAGCAGTGAGCCGAGATCGTGCCACTGCATTCCAGCCTGAGTCACAGAGTGAAACTCTGTTTCAAGAAAAAAAAAAAGGAATCACCCAGATGGTTTGTTTACGTGCAGGTTCCCAGACCCCACTCCCCCAGGTTTAAATTCACAGATTGAGATCTTCCAACTCAGAGCAACAAAGCCACCAGAATGAACATTGCAGTGTTTTAAAAAACACTCGTCTCAGAAGTGGCACTAGCGCTTCTCCCGTCCCGTATGGGTCACACAAACCAACCCTCCTACAAGTCTGATGGGATGCTGCACACGGCTGTGACTGTCAGGAGGTGGGAACCATTGCCCTCAATTTGGAAACCGGATCCCCCTCTACTCACGTTCACGTGCCCTGTATTAATCAGGTCACAGAGACGAAGCCAATAGGATCTAGATATCCTGTTGGTGCATGCAATGATGGAGGCTGAGAAGTCCCCCAATAGGCTTTCTGCGAGCTGTAGAACCAGGGAAGCCAGCAGCATGGCTCAGTCCAGACCTGAAGACCTGAGGACCAGGGAAGCCAACTATGTCACTCTCACTCACGATCTTGGCTCACTGCAACCTCCGCCTCCTGGGCTCAGGGAATTCTTCTGACTCGACCTCCTGAATAGCTGGGATTACAGGCACACACCACCACGCCCAGTTAATTTTTGGTATT